AAGAAACCATTCATAAAAATATGACACTAGTTAATAACATAACCTTTACAGTCTTCCATTACTTTTTGGATCTAATACCTTACCTTACAATTATAGTGATTGTCTATATTTTCCTTATTGTCTATGGTACGCAAAATACCCAGAACAGAATCAGAAAGGACTGGGGAACTAAGATTTTCTTCACACTAGTGCTGAAGTGCTAATGCAATATTTGCAATGAGTGAGAGGCAGTACATATTAGATTTTTAAATTCTCTTTCATGTCTGGAATAAGAATAAGCAGAATAGTATAAATCAAGTGCTTAAATGGTGGTCTGAAAAGTACTTGCATCTCTTCAGAGCACAGCCTAGACACCTGTAGAAATAGCAACAAAAAGACTGAGGAGCAAACAACGCTCTCTACTAAGGGCTATTGTAGTCATAAAAAAGGCAGGGAGGAAAGCTGGTGGGAAAAGAGCCAAGAGTTGCCAGCACAGCTAAAGCCAAGATTTTCTCAACAGGTGCTTCAGGGGAGAGATGCTGGGGAGTAAGGCAAAGAAGAGCAGGGAACAAACACTAGAAGAAGCAAGGAAACAAAGAAAAAAATGACATTTGGGAAAAAGCACAGAGAAGAGAAGACATACCAGGTTCCATGTTGACATGTTATTGGTGTGATGGGAGACTGAATGAGAGCAAATTTTGCATAGTTTGGGAACAGTGAGACAATCTTTTAGCTAAACAGTCCATTTTACAATACGTTCTGAGAAACCCTGCTCTCTTCTTAATTAACTTTTCTTTTGTATTAGATTTTGAACCTTTCACCTTGGGGTCATTAGTTCAAATGCAGCCTATTAGGTATTGACCAAAATCCATAACTATTTGACAAAGATTTGAAAGCCTCTTTAAAATGAGTTGGTGGTCTCAGCTTCCCATCTTAGCAGACAAGTGTACCCAACAACAACAAAAAACTATTTGATGTACCACTAATAGATATTTACTGATATCAATACAGAAATTAAAACTTAGATAGGCATAAAGAATATTTCTATTCATTAGAGCTATTTCATAGTTGACAGAAACAACAGTTTTAACACAAAACACTACCCCTCCACTCCCAATTCCTCAAAATAAAAAAGCAGAAAACCCCACCATCCTTCACGTGTAACCCTACTTATGTTTAGCATGTTTCATTATACTTATGTCCTATAATTGTAATTTTATGTATCCTTCATTTGCATTAGTATGTAAGATGGGAGTTAGTTACATCTGTTTTCACTGTTTGTCGGTTTGGGCTATACTGTTTGGGATTAATTTGTGAATGACAGGTGAATCAGATTTTGTGTCCACATGCCTTCCCTTCCAAGTGTGCATTAATAAATATTATTAATTCAAAGTTATAAAAAGATCACTGAAAGATCACCCCTCACTGTGAGCTGTACAGAGGTCCTCAGTTTTAATACAAAGTTGGAATATGTGTGAGGGGCTGGAGAGATTCTAGACAGGAGTCTGCTCCTGGATGACCTTGTGACTCCTCAACTTCTGCTTCTAAGCAGAATTCCCAACTGTGGGTTCAGGGAAAACCTTACACTCACTATTGCTAAAAGAGCTGAAATCCCTTGAGCAGAGGTTGCATACGCAACCTAAAAAGGGCTAGCAGTAGAGAGGAGGCAACCCCTGGACATGATGGTGGAGCAGCAGTGTCCCCTGAAAGCAGCAGCCAGAGCAGCAGTCCCCAACATCACACCCTAGTGGTGCTCCCAGCATCAGAGAGCATTGAGCTCTTTAACAAAGCCCCTGCCTGATGCACACACTGGGGACTCCAGTGTGAGGAGTGGGAGACTGCTTTGCCCATTACCCCAGAGAGACTCCCCAAGTCAAATCCCACTAGCTTCTTGTTGATGGCACTGCCCAGCTGGGTGGCAGGAATGTTGATTTAAAAGCCAGTGGGGCTGGGAATGGGGTCTAGGGAGGCTTTTCCTGAGCCTGGCTCCTGGCCCTGCTGGTTTTTAAACTGCTGCTTCTAACAACCAGCTAGGTGGTGCAGGTGGCAGGGAGAAGCCAGCAGGGCTGGCAAAGAAGAGCAAGAAGGAGCTAGCAGGAAAATCAATAGGATGGCTGGAAAATATTGCAATGCCAAAGTCTCTGCCACAGCCAGCCCTTTCTGTGCCGGTATTTGGACAAGCTCTGTCCAGGCAAGGCCCCTCACCAAAGCTTCTATCCAGGTCTGGCCTGGCTTTGCACTGACTGCGGTCTTCATACTCTTGCCAGGGACAGCCAGTTAGAGGAGTGCTTGCAGTGTGAGAGGAGTCATGTGGATTATCTGAGGAGTCAGGTAAGACAGCTGCAGGAGGAGTTGAATAGGGTCTGAAACATCTGCAAGCATGAGGCTTTCATCAGCTTGATGCACAAGGAGACCTACAGCTTCATGGGAAAGGAATAACAAGAGAAAGCACTGGAAAGCACACCTTGTCTGGAAGGACAACACTTCTTTTCTAGACCTGCAGGTGTCCAGCTGGACAACTGGTATGAAGCCCTTGCATTGGATGAGGAGTTCAGTCCAGTGGCAAAAGAGGCCAAGTCATGCACCCCTAAGGGAGGGAGGATCAAGACCACTGCAACCAAAAGAAGTGGCAAGTGGTAGCGGTTGGTGACTCGCACCTGTGGGGCATGCAGGCATCCATCTGCTGGCTTGACCTGTTGGCTCGAGAGGTCTGCTCCCTGCCTGTGAAATGTTACAAGAGAGGTTGCCCAGACTCATCCAGCCCTCTGACTACTAGTCCATGACACTGCCAGGGTGACCTTGAGCAGACCAAAAGTGACTACATGGCTCTGGGTGCAAGGGTGAAGGGGACGGTGGCCGAGGTAGTGTTCTGTCAATTTAGATAAAGGCCTGGCAACAGATGGTCACATCCTAGAGATCAACACTTGTCTGCATGGATGATGTTGCCAACAGGGCTTTGGCTTCTTCGACCACAGGATGGTGTTCCAGGAAAATGGAGGCATCCAGGAAGATGCAGTCAATCTGATGAAGAGAGGGAAGAGTGTCTTCATATACAAGCTTGCTAATCCAGTAAGGAGTAGGGATGTGAATATCATTTTTAAAATATTCGTTTAATCTCCTCTAATTATATATTGGTTAAACAATTAACTGATAACAACACAGCAGCTCAGATACAGCTGCTGCTGGGAACCACTCCCACTCCCAGAGCCCTTTGACTGGGGGACAGGGGATGAGGTGGGGGAGAGAAGGCAAACCCAGTCAGACAACACAGCCCACATGAAGCCCTGCAAGGAAAGAACACCTGCGAACAAGCAGCTAATTGCTTAACTGATGAGTCTTTAGGCTGTTGGCTGTTTTCCTCTTAGGCTATGGATACTAGTTACTCTCCCCTCTTCTCCCCGCTCCTGCCTGCCCTGCTGGGGCACTGAACCCATCCCAAGCTAAAGGATAACTGGGAAGCTAACTGGATATCATTACACTTAACGGTTAAACAATTAATCGTTGACCTTTTCATATCTCTAGTGAGGAGGGTTTTAAACTAGATTCACCAGAGGATGGAGACAAAAGCTCAGAGGTAAGTAAAGAGCCTGGAGACTTGAATAAAAACTTAGTAAAGGGAAACAATCATGGAAACCTGAGCAAAGTTCTCAGGAAGAGGATAGGACACTCAGTTAGATACTTTAAATGTTTATACACTAATGTGAGAAGTATGGGGAACAAACTGGAAGACCTGGCAGTCCTAGTATAATCACAGAATTATGATGTACTTGGGATTACGGACACATGGTGTGACAGTTCACATGTCATGGTGGGACAGCTCACGTGACTAGAGTACAGCCATAGATGGGCATAGCTTGTTCAGGAAAGAGGTACGGCAAAAAAAAAAGAAAAAGGCGTTGCCTTGTACATAAAGGTGATGCACATGTGTTCAGTGGTGCAGTATGAAGTGGAGGCCTGTTGAAAGTCTCTGACTAAAAGTCAGAGGGGGGAGGGTCATGATGGGTGTCTGCTACAGGCCTCTAACCACGAGAAAGAGATGGATGAGGCCCTCTGAACGAGGGCCAGAAGCTTTCAAATTGTAGGACTTGATTATCGTGTAATAGTTTAATATCCATTAACATTTACTTCTTGTTTTTCTTGCTGATAATGCCAGCAGTTAATGCCAATTGTTATGGTACTTGTTATGATGTTCATACTTGTCTATTATTAAATAAACTAACATTTATTATACTAATTTCATATATACCAAATTGACATCAAACAACAACTTTTCATCAGGGCCTCACGTTGAAAGTCTCTTTATACCAATTCTCTGAAATATCCAACAAGCTTATATCTTTCGTTTTTATATACATGTACATACAACGTATGAAAAACATGTAATAAATAAGCGGCTGTATCCTCTCAAGTAATGTCAAAGAATGTTCATTTAACAAAAATTATAACTTTAAACTTTACAATACACCAAGATCATATATATATAATAGTCTTAAAAGTAAATATATGTATGCATATAGAAATTACTTCTAAATGTATGCCACCTATAGAATTATAGAATTAAAAAAGGTACCTGGCACATCGGTGAAAGTCTCTCCCAGGACAGATACGTGAAAATGTAGTTCCTTCTCTTTAAGTTTCAGTAATACTTTAAAGAAACTTTCAGGGTCTTTATCATGTTCCCTTGAAACAAGCAGAATGAATCTTGATTTAGGGTATGTTTAATTGTGGTAAACTTCTTACTTATCACAGTAGTATTTATTTTTAATTCTAGTGTTGGGGTCCCTAGAAATGTTTTCCCTTTGCTTCCTACCCTAATCAGGATGGCTTATGTCATATGGAAGCTTAGTTTCCTCAGCCTACCACATGAGATGAGAACTCAGCCTTGTTTCCTTGGCCCATTTTCCTGAAACCATGTGTTCACTCTTCACATGATCAAGTTAGCTAAGATCCTGAGCTAAAATATGATTCCACCTAGCTAAAAGTATACAGGGCAGACCATGGAGAGGCGGGAAACTTGAGAGAATCCTTCCTTCTGTGCTGCCCCCAGTGATAAAGGAGTTAGTCTTCAAAATGCTTTATCCCTCTTTGAAAAAACACTATATTAAGCAACTACATTTGCTAAGAAAACAAAAGTTCCAAAATGGATTTTTATGAATATTTGAGTTTTTAAAAGCTTCCAAGTCATTTAGTGCACTGGATAAGAAAGAAAGGACACAACTGAGATAGAGGTCTTTCTGCACCTGTAGGCTTCTAAGTAGCTAGCTGGGGAGTTATTTAGTAAAGGATAAGATAGAATGATAAGTGTATACAGATTTTATTTCATGATTAAATTAAAGATTTGGAATTGTATTCTTCCCCACGGTTAAGGTCTTAAGAAACATTGGTTTGGTTAGTTAAAAAGAAAGAAACTAGATGCTATTCTATCGTCTTTATTATGACAGAACGAGAGGTTAAAAGACACCATAAATGAATAAAAATTTCCATAATTTGGTAAATTGCATTAAAAATGAAATGAGTTATTTTTTCCATTATAAGGTGTGAATATTGTAGTATTTTTGCATTTAATTACTGTGTTTTAAATTATCTTATTTCAGACAGATGTGGGCCAGATGTCTTTCAAATATTTTGTTTTTAATTTATTATTTAGAAACTTCTACTGTTTTACTTCTTGTGTTACAGGAAAATCTACAGTTTAGCAAGAGTGGGTCTTTGTCGTACAGCCTAATTACGTACAATGAATCTGTAGGTTTATCACATGGCTATATGAAACATTAATAATTATATGATTCAGAAAATCTCGGGCTCAATGACATCTGTAGTCTACATGTGTTAATTTCTAATTTGGTCAATATTTTTAGTTTAGTGAAATAAAACAAATGCATCCTCTAATTAATGTTTTAAAAAGGACCTTTCTAGGCTTAAAATCTTCAGAAATTGTGAGGTTTACAGATTGAAAAAAAACAATAATTACTTAAAGAAGTTGTATATCCTCCAGCTTTGTTTTGTTCTCAATAATAAAAAGGAATGTAATGGCATAAGCCTCATAATTTGTTTCACATCTGTGGACCAGGAGTTTTTATGATGATGATTCCAAGTGGACAAAATTACTGACTCTCAGAGATAATTCAACTGCTTTTTAAAGTTATTAAGAATCAGGACTGAAATACTCAGAAGTTGCTTGTATTCATAAGAGTACCTATTTCTGGAAAGGTAATTTGTATGTTTGAATGCACTTCTAGTGCTTGATTTCTTTTCAAAATATTTAGCCGAAAGAGCTGGGAAATTACAATGTAAAAAAGGAACCAGACTTGTCAGGGCTGGATAAAAGTGCAAATGAAAAAGTGTATATGGAAAATAACCTCTGCTGGGTTCTTCATTAGAGTCCTAAATATTTACTGATGGCCTCAATCCTCCCTTGGGGCAGGTAATTACAGGTGTTTAGCTAGTGGGTCTATTGTTAGCAGAGTAGCTAGTCTGCACACTGTATAGCTAAGGCTGACAGATGCTGAGCATGATGTTCCCTAAGTCTGTTGGGGTCAAATGTCCACTTAGAGAGAGATAAATCAAGCAAAAAGGAGGGGGCCACATAGCCGACATACTCCTCTCTAAAGTCTGAAAAATCTACACTAACAGCTATACAGCCTCAAAGGTAGAAAACTTTTCCACAACTGGATTTACAATTTCTCCTCGGAGGAAGACCAAGATGCCATGGGAAGCTACCTCTAAGGAATGGACCTACTCCTTACTGCCCTACGAGCCAGAGGGGAGTAAGAACCCCTATAGCAGTGCTTCCCAAACTTTTCCTCAGCATGACCCTGGCCATTTCCTTAGCATGGCCCCTCACTCCCCGCTTACAGCCACTCACTCCCCCCAGGTGCCCTTCACTTCCGAGCCACAGGCCCCTGGCCCGGCCAGTACCCCCCACTCTACCCAGCTGCCCCAGGGCCAGGGCCTGCAACCCTCTACCCCCGCAACCCCAGCAGTGCCTGAACCCTGGGTGCTGCCCGCAGGAAGCAGCAGCTGCTGAGGCTGGAGTGTGGAGCCTGGCTCCATGCCCTGCCCGTCCCTCCCCCATGGGTGGCACAGCCAGAGCAGAGCCCATGGTGGAGGGAAGGATGCAGGCTGCCCACTGTGGGCTTGGCGCTCACTGCCCTGCTGCCCTTCCCTCAGGCTTCTGCAACCAGCTGGTGGGACCTGGCACGGGAGAGAGCGCAGCGCTGCAACCCCATCCGCTGATGTTGAGACCCCATTTGGGGTCATGACCCACAGTTTGGGAACTGCTGCCCTACAGTTCGTGGGAGCCACAAGGCCTTATACCCCAAATGAATCTTACAGCACTTGTGTAAATTAGGAAAGATATATGGGAATTCAAGCTTGCATTTCGGTTTTTCTAGGAGAGGAAGAGGAGGGAGCAAATTCTGCACCCACCAGAACAGAATTCAGAAGAAATGGCAGGAGGAGAAATTTCTGCATTTGCCCTGTTCATGGAAGCTCCACTGATGGATTTTGTGATATGAGCAGGTGATCCTCCTTTCTTTTCCCTATCTAAATATCTATTCTTCTGTTTCTCTGAAATGAAGGTAGCAGTAATGTACATCAATTATAGTGGTATCTTTTATGTTCTTCTTTATCCTATCTGGGAGGTTTTGCTGTTTCAGTTTGCTGGCCTATGTGACTCTTACAGGCACAAAACCATTTTATTTTTAGATATTTCTGTTAAGATTTGTAGAGTGCTTCCAACATGGGGACCCACAAATTAAAATGCACTATTATATTTACAAGCAATAAAGATATAGCTATTCCTGGTAGAAAGAATAACACATTGTACAAGACTATCTTATTTCTGCAACAAAAAGGAGAGTGATGTGTTTCTTGGCTGACATGGAGAAATCATATACAATCCAGTCTGCCTTACTCAGCAACAACTGCTAAACACACCAGATTGTCATAGCAGTGATTGTGGAAAAAGATGAACACAATATGGGATGTCTGTTCTGTAAAGATCTGCTCAAAATGACGTGCACTTTTGGCTGCATCTGTTGCATTTTTTAGCTTTATTAAACAATATTAGTGAGTGTGTATGTTCCATTTTCGTAAGAGGAAACACAAAACTATAAAAGCTGGATGTTACTATGCAAACTTTTTACTGTATTACATATTTGGGAAAAACTGAGATATGATCCCTTTTCTTTGGCCTGCACATATCTGAAATGACCCTGTATTTATTTTGGTTGATTTAATGGAAATTTTAATAATTAATTTGGTAAAGAACTGGAAACTGAACATGGTATGAACTATATTCCAAATGGTTTGCAGAAATGACAAATCTCTGGTTACATGACAGCTACAGTATGAGGAAAGGCAACATATACCTCTAATCAGGTAACAGGCTTCGCACTGACTGGGAGCCATTGTCTTCAGACAGCTTCAACTTCCATAGCCATAGATTCTGAAGAAATGTATAACTATACATGTATGCATGCCTATATATGATTATACATGTATAATAGACTTATACTTTTTATTATTTACCTGATACATTTAGAAATGGTTAGCAAGAACTGTGGTCTAGACATTTAGGACCAAAATTAGACTTTACTGAAGTCAGAGGGAAATAACTTCTGGGATCAGTACTCACTCCAGTTTCTCTGCCTCAGTTTATCTACTTGTAAAATGGAAATAATATCTATTTTTCTACCACGTCACAACCCAATGATTTTGGTGCCTCGGCACGATGGAATTTTCCCGCCACATGAGAGCCTCTTGCACAGCAAAAGTTTTCTGTTGCAACAGAAAACCCCGGTGCAAGAGAGTTCCCGCCATTTGAATGCAAATTTGTGTCCCGCTATTGGCCAGTTCTAAATTATTCCTACGTGGCGGCTAGTAATTGGCTTGCTAGCCGTTTAAAATTTCGTGCGACTTCCGCCCAAGTCGGAGAACTTTGAGCACACTGCAGAGTGCCTCTGAAGAGACCTGACTTGCGGCTGAGCTGATCGATAGACTGATCACCTATCGATTCTTCTCCCCGTCGCCCACAATCCCCGACGTACCCTTGCCCTGCCGGCTTAATTTGTGGATGGATTAGCTGGCCTGAGCCTTGCCAGCTGGAGCAACTCACATAGTTGTTCAAGTGACCGGACCACCTGCGTTGCGGCTACAAGCGGCGTAAGTAAAGTTTTTATAACCAATAAGCTGTGTCTGCCTCTCCATTCACCAGCCCGCCCAACTGATCGAGTGATTTCTAAATCATCTCGAGTCGGCTCCGGCTGTCTGAGACACCACACAATGAGTTGTCAGGACCAATTAGTCAGTGGTCCAGATCCCTCTGTCCAGCCAGTGGTACTTGGCAGAGGATTCAAGATGGAAAAAGTGGGGCTTCACATCACCTTTGCTTTTGGTGCCAGCCAGACTGCCTTTGGCAGAGAGCGCTAATAATTATTAAACACCATCCTGTTATTCAGGGATTGACTGAACTTAGTGTTAGTGTAGCCCAACTTCCTTTTCCTTTGTGGGCTCTGTCAGGAGTGGCACATATGCCTAGTCTGGTTGGAGCTTCCATTTGCTTTCCATTGCTGAAATAGTACAAAAATGATAAAATGGAAGGAGAAAAGTCTGGCCCTGGTAAGACAAGGCTCTTTGGGTAAATCCAATATCTTTTATTAGACCAACTAAAATAGTTGGAAAAATTCTTCTTTGCAAGCTTACTGGTACAAAAACCCTTCATCAGGTTGAAGGGTGTTTGTAACCAAAATCTTGCAAAGAGGAGCTTTTCCAACTATTTGAGTTGGTCTAATAAAAGATATTGGATTTACCCAAAGAACCTTGTCTGCCTATGCCCTAGACCAACATGGCTACAACCTATAACTCTGAAACATGGCCCTTGTAAAGAATTTTAACTGAATATTCCTTTTACAGCATTGGGTGCAGTTTCAGCAAGAGATCCATCCCATCAAAGTAGTAAATTAAATTGATCACATTTGGTGATATTGACAGCTATTTTGATGAGAAAGCTATGCATCATTTAAAAAGTCATGTAAGAGAGACAGAAGTTGTTTCAAAGGGCAAAATCAAATCATTTCTTTCTTTTAAAAGGCCAGTAAGTTTAACAACTATATAGTGAATTAAATGATCCAATAAAATAAACATGGCCATCTACAAATACGAGAAATCCCTCAATTTTTTAAAGAATGTGTATAAAGGGCATGTATCTATTGTGATACAAAGTCAGAGTCCCATCACATCAGTGCCCACATTGGCCAGATCCAGATGTGCAGGCACACATGTTAAATGGTGCATGGTGCTGCTAATTTGCATCACCAGGATAAAAGTTGCTACCAGGATATCTTGGCAGCAAAAAAAAACCTGGAAAAAAAATTGGCACAAAGCATGCCAAAGTGCCATATACCAGGACAAACACAGAGATGGGGCGCAGACAGCCCTGGGCTGACTGCTCCCTTGTTTCCACGTGCCTAAGTGTGGGGGCTCCACTGCAGATCCCCCACACTGAACACGTGATGACCCTGTCTCAAAGCACACTGCACACCAACCAGCTGCTCCACAATGTGCCTTGGGACAGGGACTCCACTTGCCTCAGTGCAAGGGCTCCATAGCACATGGAGAGAGGACACAAGCTGGGCAGGGGCACAAGCTGCCTCAGCATGGGGGCTGCGTGCTGGCTAGCCCTGCACTGAGGCACCCTGTGTGTCCCAGCCAGCCCTCCCTGCAGCCCATGGAGCAGTGGGACAATACATCCTGCTGCAAAGTGCATGGGCAGGGGCGTGCATTGCAGCACAAAGTAGTGGCACAAATTTGTGCCACTTTTATTTGTGCTGCTGGAAACAAAGGCTCCTGCTCACGTGGACATGGCATGGCATGCATTTTGAAAAGGTGGAATAAGCTCAGTTAAAAGAAATATTAAAGCAGTCCATTTTAATCATTTTAAGATTTTTAACAAGGATGATTTCCACTATTTCTGAGGTAGGAAAAAAAGAAAAAGGGGGGGGGGGGGGGCATACACTTTAATAGTCCTTCAATTCAAGAAACTCTAGCACTTACCAAGCAATACGGAGCAAAGCAAGAAGCAGTCCCTAATATTAGGAAAGTTTTTTTTTCCCCATATTGCAATGAAATTGCACATTGTCACATAGGAAGTCTGTGGTAGAGCCTGAAACAGAGCTCACATGTTCTATTGCCTGGAACAGAGTATTAGAAATAATATTATCCTGTCCTCAATTTCATACAATTAACTGGTTGCCAGTGGAACAAGTGCGGTACTGAAATACCAGTGAAATCTTTAGAAGAAATCCCCAAAATTTTAAAATTCAGCATATTAGTAAATTAAGAGCTAACACGAAGATTTATGACTACCATTTATTTATTTATTTGTAGTCAGAAAGTGGCTGATGGACTATATTCTGGATCAGGAAAATATTCTTTATTATTTACACAGTTGTGCGTAGTATTTAGAGGTAGCAAATGTATATACTAAGTCAGACAGAGCAGAGAGATGGAACTGGAAGAAAGGCTTGTTTGGGAATCATAAGGCAGCAGGACAACTAGGAAAAGATGTTCGAAAGACAGAAGTAAACCTAAGCAGGAGGGGAAATGCCAGTGGTAGAGAAGCAAATTTAGAAGTCACGAGCATAGAAAATGAGTTTTTGAAGGAAACAGGACCCTGGAAGGACCCTGTGAAAGACAGAAAAAGTCACCAAATGCAATACCAAAGCAGCAGCTTGGAAAGTAGAATTTCCAATTGAACAAAGTATCATGGAAACTCAGGGACGAAGAATTACCATGGTTTTATGGGGCAGAGAGTGGTAGTTGGCCATGTTTGTCTGATGTCAGGCAGAAGACAGCGTAAAGAAGCACCTATAGACTAACTGAATCAGAGATGCATAAGCTTTCATGAGCAAGAGCTCACTTCATCAGATGCTGTGAAAGGATAAATAAGAACAATGCAAGTGTGAAAACAGCAACATAGAACAGTTATGAGGGATAGGCAAGGTTGTGGAAACATGGTGTCTAGAGGAAGCATAACAGAAGAATCAGCATGGGAGCAGAGAAGGGAGCAGAAGACAGAAACAATGGAACCAGATAAAGTTCTTTAGTGAGGGAAAAAGAAGTGACTGAAGATCAAGAAGTCATAAATGCTAATGCAAAATAAGGAGACTTGGGCACCAAGGCAGTTGCAAGGCAGCCAGCAAAAGAGCATAACAATTGTTGACTTTGCTGATTGCAAGGTATGAATAAGGCTGTGTCAGGATGTTCTTAGCTGAATTATGTTCTTTGCACAGGGAATAAAAAAACACAGTAACAGAAGGTTAAGAATAGCCTTGTGGTTCTTTATTAGTTTAACCCACACAGTTCTCTCTCTCTCCACACACACACACACACGCTTAGGTGGACATGAGCTCGAATCCTTAAAGTCCCATGTACCTAGTTCCATCCAGTCTTACGAATTCAAGACTTATTTGATGTCAACATCTTGTTAACCCTGTACCTAGCTAGCCCATTATCAGGGA